CTCTCTGCCCCCACCCTTTGGAACTCTATCCCACATTCCCTTCGCCTCGTTCCCTCCTTTGCCTCCTTCAAGGCGCGTCTCAAGACCTTCCTATTCAACGTGCCTTCGGCCACCCTCCACCTTCCCTGATCCCAACCACCCCCCACTCACTTGGCTCCTAATCCCTGACTGTTCAGTGCCTTGGGATGTCCTCCTGAAGTGAAAGGCACTTTACAGATGTAATTTTATATTGTATTGTAATCTACGGCAGTGAATGCGAGACGTACAACCACAACCACCGTCAAACTCCGGTCCTGCTATTGCTGCTCTATTTAATACTCCACCGTGTGCTTAGTTATAACATGCCCATAATCTCTGTCCAAATGCCTCAGGATGTTCATTTGGATTTTGCGAACATTCTCCCAACGCTCTATAAGGATCCCCTCTTTCAAATCCCACACAGGCTAAAACATCTTCCTTTGTCTGAGTAGCATTTCTATTCCCTGTCTTAGCATCAACTGGCAAAGCATAAAAAAACTGGGCGTCAGCGTAAATAAAATCAGCTTAGCATGCTCGTCATTTAAATCATTAAGTACAATTATATGTGCTACTGCTTCAAAATGCGCTAGTCCATACCCGTGCCGTTGTATTTAAGCAATTTTGCAGCCATTCCTTGTAAATCGCGAAGTGTATAGGGGGCAATAATACGCGCTTCAAGGATAGGCCGTGGTTGATTACCTGCCTGATCCAAAGTTGGTATCTGCACCCATTGCTGCGTCCCGGGCACCATAGGAGCAGTAGATGTTATGGCCGAATGCGGCGATGGCCCATTCCTCCACTGGTCACCGTCATGGTAGTGGTACGCCTCATCACCAAAGTCATCCACACTATCATCACCTGAGGAACTTTGCAGGACCATAATAATGGCACAAATCGTTTCTCTCTCTGCAGAAAGCATTTTCTTTAGTGCACTAATCTGACTTTCACACCCTTTCTGTGAAATACTGGAGCCTTTCTGACTTCTAATTATTTGTTGAGTTTGGACATTGTACGCTGCTCTTAAATCCTCAGTTTGTTGTTCTAATTTCCTGCTTCTCAGCTCCCAATCCAATCTCCTTCCTCTCTTTTTTCTAAAAGATCCTCTACTATTGCTAATTTGTCCATTAATTCCTTTGTCTTTTCTTTCTGCACTACCGCGAGCTGCGAGGCTTTGCGAGAGTTTCTTTCTGACTTAATTTGGCCATATATTCTCTGGATTGTGCTCTCAATGATAATAACAATAGTGAGCGTTAATTATTTCTGCTTCTGCTGCTTCCTTTTTTTAAACTAAACACAAAGGTTGTTAAGGATTTAATTCCTTCACGTCCAACTTTACACTGACTCGAAGGAAACTTCCCTAACTTTGCCAGTCTCACTTATATCGTCACTAACCAACTAGGCTTCTGGACTATCAGTTTCAGTTAATTAATTGATTAGTATTTAACATCAAATACTAAAACAAATACTAATTGATTAGTATTTAACAAATAACAAAATTACACTTCTAGAGCACCTTTCACGTCGGGAGGACATCCCAAAGCGCTGAACAGTCAGGTGTCGGGGCCTGAGCATGGGGGCGGGCGGGGTAGAGGTGAGGGAAGGCAGAGAGTTGGGGAGGGAGACCAAAGGCACGGTCGAAGAGAAGGGTCTTGAGACTGGCCTTGAAGGAAGCAAAGGAGGAAGCGAGACGAAGGGATCGTGGGATGGATTTACAGAGTGTGGGGGTAGAGAGGCTGAAAGCACGGCCACCGATGGTAGGGTGGGTCGGGCGGGAGACATGGAGCAGGCCGGAGCCTGATGAACGGAGGAAGCGGGCCGGTTGGTAGGGAGTCAGCAGGTCAGAGAGGTAGGAGGGGGCAAGGCCATGGATGGCCTTAAAGGTGAGGACGAGGATCTTGAACTCAATCCTCTGGGGGACGGGGAGCCAGTGGAGTCGGGCGAAGGTGGGAGTGATGGGGTCACGGAGCCTGGTGCGTGAGAGTACACAAGCTGCAGAGTTTTGGATGATCTGCAGCTTGCAAAGGGAAGAGTTGGGAAGGCCGATGAGGAGGGAGTTCCCGTAATCAAGCCTTGATGTGACGAATGCGTGGGTGAGGGTTTCCGCAGCCTGAGGGGTGAGGCAGTGGCGGAGTCTGGCAATGTTGCTGAGGTGGTGGTAGGCAGTGCCGGTCATGGGGGAGAAAGGACAGTTCAGGATCAAACAAGACACCCTGGTTCCTAACTGGCTTAGTGAGGTTGAGTGTGCAGCCGTGGAGGCTGATGCTGCCAGTGCCTGAGGTGCGGAGGCGCTGGCTCAAGCCAATCAGGAGGGCATCGGTCTTGCTGACGTTGAGTTGGAGAAAGTTGGCCCTCGTCCAGGAGTTGATGTCGGACAGGCAGTCGGTTAGGACCCCAGTTGCCCTGGAGTTCAGGGTGGAGGCAGAGAGGTAGAGTTGAATTTCATCCGCATACATGTGGAAATTTACCGTATGTCTGCGAATGATGTCACCAAGGGAGCATGTAGAGGGTGAAGAGGAGGGGACCGAGGACAGAGCCCTGAGGAACATCGCACGAGACGGTGCGGGGACTGGAGGAGAAGCCGTTTGCCACGACGAAGAAGAGGCGGTGGGAAAGGTAGGACAGAACCTTGAAGGTTGAGGTGGGAGGAGAGTCGGTGGAGGAGGATTGAGTGGTCCACAGTGTCAAAGACGGTGAAGAGGTCGAGGAGGATGAGGAGGCAGAGGAAGACCTGGTCACACATGGTCAGGATGCCATTTGTGACCTTGACCAGAGCAGTTTCTGTGCTGTGGGCAGCACGGAAACCCAATTGGACGGGTTCATGGAGGGAGTGAGAGAAGAGGAAAGAGCAAAGCTGGGAGGCAACGGCTCTCTCAAGAACCTTGGATAGGAAGGGGAGATTTGAGATGGGCCGGTAGCTAGATAGCTGTAATGGATCAAGGGAAGGTTTCTTCAAGGTGGGGATGATAGTGGCTGTTTTGAGGGGGGAAGGAACAGTGCCAGATGACGGAGAGGTTAATGATGTCGGTGAGTAGTGGAGCAAGGAGGTGGAGCTTGTATTACCTTTGTGAATAACGGCGAATTACTTTTTATTCTCACCGTCCCGTCTAGGGTGCCAATCTGCAAGTTTATGGGTTCATCACAATGTAACACAAAGAGTTAATGGTTTAATAACCAAAGTCAATACATACAACCTTCGAATTCAAAGACGGTGATCCAATCCTTCCTCTGGGAGAGAATGGCGACCTCTTTGTGTATGTTGTTGATCTGCCCTCCTTCTCCTTTTCCTCGTTGTCTCTTGAGTCTCTTAAACAGACGGTCCTCTCTTACACAGACAGGAGTTTTTCTATCTCTGTCTCAGTATAAAATGGTGATCGTCTCTCTCCTTCACACAACACACCCTTCTCCTATCATGTGGCCATACTGACTGAGGTTGCGTCATCCCCTCACCAGGTGGCACTTGTCCAGTTTATGGTGGTTCTTTCTTGCAACAAAATCTCTGTTACACAGAAACCAGCCAACCTGAGATGAGGATTGGGGCGGTGGGTGTCTCAGCTGCACTCTTAAATCAGTTTACAATCCCAAGAATAGCATGATAAGTGTGGCCAGTTCGTTAAGTTTGTGTGACCAGTTCCTGATTGGGTTGGAAATTAGGATAGTAGGGAAAATCTTAACCTTATTAGTTTAGCAACCATGCAGTTACTCTGTCTGCAATTCTTGCAGTCAGATATTTGGGTCATGACAGCTGAAAAATTGCAAGAGTTGAGATAACTACTGGACTAGTCGTCTTTATCGGTCATTATATTCATTTGAAAGTGGTCCTTCTACTGCATGATGCGCCTACCTTCACTTAAAGAAATGTTACAGTCTCTATGTAATTATTTAATGTATGTGATGTCTAATATATTTGTCTTAAATTTCATTAGATGTGCAGTGCAGCACATCGGTGACTACTACCTTATCCTTTTACTTTGTAATAATAATAATAATCCTTGCATTTGATATAGTGCTTTTCATGTCTTTTAGACGTCTCAAAGCGCTTCACAGAATACGCTGTAAAGTGGATTGACCGTATACTTGTGGGCAAAACACGGCAGCCAATTGCGCACAGCAGTGTCCCACAAACAGTCGTGGATTGAAAATGTCCAATTTATTTTTGTTTTGGAGGGATTATTATTAGGCGTGTGGAGTAAGAAAACTTGCCCAAGGTTTCGCCCTACCGGGAATTGAACCCAGGTGTCTCACTTGCAAGGCGAGTGCTCTAACCACTGAGCTGCAGGACTCCACTTTAACTGTATGGATTGCGGGGCCCAAGAATAGACTTTAATATCTTTATGTGCTTTAGGGAGGGGATGTGTTTTCTGCCTCTGAAAATCTTTTGATATTTCTCAGCAAATGGAGCAGCATTGTTTCCTACAAGTTCAATTCTTAAATAAGGTTAGTCTTTCAGCAAGTTCTAAATTGGAAGCTTCTCAGTTATAATTTAGACACGATTCATGCCAGTGACCATTTCGATCACAAGCAAGCTGTTGACCCAACTTTGACCATATACCTTTATTTAAAACTAAAAGCCAATTCAAATGTCAGAGCTTAATTTACATGTCATTACTAAAACCACACATTTGCACTAATTATCATAGATTATTGCTGTGGGGCAGTAATGAGGTTGTCACATTTTAATTAACTGTCTCACAAGCTTATTTTTAATCAAGTTAACTAAGATTGTGAATTATATTGTCTTCATTGCACTTTAATGCCATTATAATAAAAATCTTTTGTCAATTCTGTCTTCAGCAAGGCTGCTAATGCATTAATGCAGCATCGTAGTTTTAAATTTAGTAAAAAGAGAAACAATGTGTCAAATGTCTTTTACATCTTCCAGGATTTTCCAAAGATTTCCTTTTTATTATTTATTGCTCCTCTATAAGTGCACTTTAATTAAGGATGTTTTAGCCATTTTATGGAAAATTCTTTTCTATTAATAGATTGCCCAAGTCCTTGGAGAGCCAAGAGAAGAGCTGTTTTTTCTTACAAACCGAGATTGCTGATACTCTGGCAAGCAGTGGTTACAGTGTGGAAAAGTTATCTGTGCCATATGTGCCCCAAGTCACAGGTATGAGTGGCATTGTTATTTATTACCTGTTATCAATGTTTATATATCTCAGCTGGAGGCATTTTTCTGATTGAGCCAAATTTTACCTAAACTGCTGATCCATTACCAACAGAATCATTTGCAGTATCAAACAGCACAGTGGCAAAAAATCGCTTTAACCTTTTTTGCTTTTCTGTGCATTACGAGGCACGTGCTGGGCTTACAATGTCAATATAGCAGTGACACATGAACAAAGCCATTCTTTCAGTCTAAAATCTGGTGTGAAAAACATGAACAATTTATTTGAGCCTGACTATTCTTCTCAAGAGGAAATCTGGAAGAGGAAAAGAATATTGGTACCTCATTGGTAGACTTAATTGTTTAATTTAAAATTGTCCCATGGAAATGGAAATCATTAAACTAAACAATGTATACTAGTGACTTTTCTGTCGTTGCAACAACAACAATAAAATTACATTTGTATAGCACCTTTCAAGTCTGGAGAACGTTCCAATCAATGTTTTGGACCCGAGTTGGGGGTCGGGATCGGGGAGAGTGGAGGGCAGGTGGGTGGGGAGAAGGAGGATGATTATTGTAGAACTTCCATATTGTTAGAGCTTTGACTCTTATTACAGGTTCCAATTTTGAACCTGTAATAAGATAATATTTAATACAATTGGACTATCATATGAAATATATGCCACTGGTTTAACGTCCAGTTAAATATTATGACTTGGATATTCCATTTCCCAGTTGATTTTTTAAAAATGTTATTTAGTTCTGAAATGTCTAATAAAAAATTGCAATTAAATTCTTAGTCGACTGAGAAGATTTGTAAAGTGAAATAATTTTTCATGCAAATTATTGCTGTGCAATCGAATGTTAAGTCACCTATAGTGGTGACTCAAAATAATCCTGATCACAACATGCTTTGCTAGTGGGGTTGAAGGAGGTGACCATTAATGTGCATCGAGGTTTAGGATGATGCATGTGTTGTATTCACAAAAGTTGCATAACCATTCAAGTAGGGAAAACTCAACACTGGAAAAACTAAGCTTCCTGGGAATTCAGCAAATAAATCAAAGCTATGTTTCACCATGATTTAATTTAATTTGTTTACATGGATTAATTTGAATTGTCAGCTTGTAAAATGTTGGGGTTGAAATTCCCAGCAATGGCTGGTGTAGTCAGCAGCTCCCCCTGCTGAAGCAGCATCCATAGTTGGCTGCTGAAGGCTACTTGAAGACCATAAGCTTGGTTCTGAGAATTGTTCTAAGTTCCTAAACTGCATATTGCTTAACCTACAGTTTGATGTTACCAGCCAGAAGGTATGTTGTGTTTTCTTTCTGAATCCTCTAAAGAGTGCATACTTTCTAAAATGCATCACTGTTTCTTTCACCAGTTTTCTCATGTGTAGTCACTATTCTCTGCAATTTATTTTGTGTCCAGTTCTCAATCAGCTTTTCCTGAAAGGAAAAGCCAGACGTAAGTGCAGACGGAAATCAAGAGGTAAACAACAGTTTGCTAGCAGCTCACCATGTAAAAATCATGGATGCATCTTTGCAATGAATATTAGTTCACTTGATTGTCAATGCTTTAGAAGTACAGTTGGTTAATAGATGCTGGGCAGCATTTCCCAAACTAGTGCTATGCTAAATGCAAATGTTTGTGTTTGCATGGATGAGCAAACCCATTATTAGCTGTAGTCAACTCAGCCTGCAGGTGAAAATAGGGCCATTGGGTAGGTAGGGTGACAAAATGTGTGATTTGTACTTTTTCTATGAGCCCTTAAAGGAGGAAAAAAACACCTTTCTTAGATATAAATCTTTTATTTGGGGCCTTTTGCTATCAATAGAAGCAATTGCAATTGACACTAATTGCTCCAAGTTTAGCTAAAAGCTTGCTGTGTTTTGGGGAGAGGAAAATTAATGATTGCTGGAATAAGGGTGTTATTTGAGGTGAGAGAAAATTCTTTTTGTGATTCAGCTAAAGTTAACCCCATTCAGCTTGAGGGTAAATATTACTGTTCTAACGAAAACTGCATTTCACCGTGGCGAGTTTGTCTTAATTTGTGCCTGCTGCCACTGCCCATTGCATTTGCAGTGTTTTGAAATTGCCAGCAATAAGAAGTGTTTCAATTTCTTACTGAATCTTTTAGGAATGCTATTAATCTTTCTACTTGAGGGAATTTTTTTCATATAAATGTAATGTTATTGCTTTGTTTGGTCCTGGATGGCAGTAATGCATCTCCACCAAATTGGAAAAGTGCACTCCATTCAGAAACTTTTTTTAAAAAAAACATATGGGCAGGCTGTGTGCTGCCGTTTGAAACCTGACATATAGAGGTGTGACATGACTCTCTGCTCATGTTAGTGGTATCAGGCAACACAAATCTGTTGCCTTTATGGAGAAAAACATCAAATTACCTTTCTACTATGAACATAAAGAAAGTTATGCCACAACATTTCTTCTCAGTATGTAAATCATGCTTGATTGGGAACCAAGGAAACTTATCAAGCAGCTTTCCTCTCCTCAGTCAATAGATAAGAATTAAATGAGTGGCAACCATCATCAGTCCATCTGTTTGTGGGGATTTAAGATGAAGAGTATTTTTTTTATTTTATTGCAGTCCCACTCGCTATGCTGGCCAAGAAAATTGGTTTCCTTCCTGTAGCAAAGCCATCTGGTGCATAGCAATTTTATTGCTTTGAAACTTGCCATAAAGAGGTGTGCAAAAGCAACCCGTTGTGACATTCTGTTTTGTTTTTTCTTCCTCTGTGGGAAGTGCGTGGGCTCTTGCTCAACTTTCCCACAGAAACATGTTTGAGATCAGGACCTCAACATTAAACCATAGAAATCTACAGCACAGGCGGAAGCCATTTAGCCCATTATGCCTGTGCTGGTTCGCATTGCATTCGTTTAGTCCTGCCTTTACACCAATCATTTTTATATTGGGGTAATTGTTTTGAATCTACATCTCACTATGCCCCGTCTGATCTGTGATTTAATTTTATGTCGTTTCGTAGATAGAAAAGTGGGAACAGGAAGTCATTCTGTCCATCAAGCCTGTTCCACCAGTTTATGAGATCTTGATAACTCTTTGATCCCCAATGTCCACCCATTTTCCATGCCCCTAATACCTCTACTGCCCAGATATCTGTCCATCTCTTGTTTAAATACCCCTATTGTTTCTACCTCTATAGCTTTCTTGGGCTGAGCATTCCAATTGTCATAAATCTGTACACCACAATCAAATCACCCTTTCCTCTCTTAAGTAATATAACAACAACAAAATTATATTTGTATAGCGCCTTTCACGTCCCAAGCTTCTCATCATAGCCAAGCCCCTTCAGTCCAGGTATTAATCTAATAAAATGACACTGAACATCCTCCAAGGCTAATATATCCTCAGTAAGATTGGGTGCCTGACTCTGAACTGGGATTTGACGACCAATCACTGGGAGACACCATGGGTCGCTGCCTGCCCATCAGAGAAAAAATATTTTTGTACCATCTCCCTATCTCCTCCCTTCCAACCAATTTCTTGTCCATGACACAGTTTTGCCTTTAGCTCTTATGTGCTTAAGTGGAGTCCTGTGGCTCAGTGGTTTGAGCACTCACCTCGCAAGCAAGAGACCTAGTTTTGATTCCCGGTAGGGCGAAACCTTGGGCAAGTTTCCTTATTCCACATGCCTGATAATAATCCCTCAAGAAATAAAACAATAATAAATTGGTCACTTCAATCCATGACTGTTTGTGGGACATTGTTGTGTGCAATTGGCTGCTGCATTTCACCCACAAATATACAGTCAATTCATTTTACAGTATAATCTGTGAAGTGCTTTGAGACATCTAGAAGAAGTGAAAAGTGCTATATTAAATGCTATTATTATTAATTTTAGCTAATCTGTTATGTGGCACTTTGTCACATGCTTTCTGTAATCCATATCAATAACACCGATTGATTCACCCCACAAACACACACACTTACTTTACTATCACCCCTATGATAATTCTGATTTATGAGACATGATCTACTCTTCACAACACCCAAACAAACTCTCTGATCTGTATATATTTATCTGGAGAATGTGTTATTGTTGCCCTGATAAGATTTCAGTAATTTGCCCACCATTGATGTTGAACACATAGGCTAAAAGATTATAAATGGAATCTTGTAAAAGATGCTTGAATTGTCCTATCTTTCCTTTTTGAATAATGGAGTTACATTTTCTGTCCTTCAATTCAGTCGTACATGGATCGAGGCAGTCAGTTTAGCAGAAAAGCAGTAAAAACGGCTGGTTGGATTCTATGGATCCCAGGCCAGTGTTATAACAGGGCTCCACTGCATTTACATCAAATTCTATTTTCGTAGGAGAAAGATCATAGGTACTAAATAATATCGTTTAAGTATTTGACTTTTCATTCAAGTGATTTTACCGTACAATTACTTCTAAATCGTGCATTCAACTGTTCAAAATGTTTTCTGTCATTTAGGTTTTTTCCATTAAACTTTTTGAATTGGTCAAACATTGGAAAATCCTGAACATTTTTATGTATGTGTTTAACTGTTGACTACAATGAAAATCCATTTCATTTTGAATGCCAGATTTGCATCCCAAAATAATGATTTCAGAAGACATTGATCACGTTTGGGTGTTTGGTGACCTCCCAGGTTTGAATACGGCCAGTGGTGCCTCTTTTAGTGTGCAGTAGTTCAAAAGAGAACAAACAGGGCTTGGAGAGTGTGCACATTTTTGTTCCATGGGCCTTGTTGGTAATTTATGTCATTTTACATATTAAAACAAGTTTTTCTTCAACATTTTTGCAGGATGAGTTACTGCATATTATCAACAATGACCATAGAATACCACACAAGTGACAATGCAATACTGCATTCTAAATTATAATGCAGGTCTTTGTATCCCACCTCTTGAGTTTTTCAGACTCGAAAAGAAAAGCGGTAATGTAAGTGAAAAACAATAATGCAAGTCACATGTGGTGTATAAGATGTGTTTCCACACAGAACAAATCACTGATTGTACTGTGAAGCAGAGAGGTGTTATCTTAGATGAGGTATGGGGAAAAAAAGTGTTGGGAGCAAAGATCCTAAAATACAAATTCCTCTAAAATGCCTATTTGCCTTTTCCATTTTTGCTTTTTTCCATCATTGAGTTAGGGCATCAAAATTGAGGTACTATTCACTACAGATTTACTAAATGATTCTGTTAGAAAAAAAGCAAATCTGTTAAATGATTTAGCAGAGTGGGCTGATACAGCACTTTTGTTCTAATCCAAGTGATATCGGATGACAATCCAAGACTAATCATTTCTTGGGCTTTACTCCTGTTGAGTAATTCTCCTTTAGTATACACTTCATGAAGTGGGAGGGAGAGAGGGCATGCTCTGGGATAACTAGAAAAGAAGAGCAAATCCAACCTACAACATCTTCTAATGTCAGATACAAGTATCTCAATCCTGAAAACATTTGGTATTTAACAAGTCTTACATTTAGACTCCAGGTATAGACATTTGTAATTTGTTTAATATGTCTCTTTTGACATTAATATCTCTCTTTCACATACACCACACACATATATTAAATGTATATAGTATTGTACATATAGCTGCATAGTCCACCTAAGACCTCCCTTTGGTTTGAATATTGATAGATATGGTATCAGGAGCAAAGTGGGGGGAAAATTATTATTTCTCTCCTACCCCACCCCTGTGACATGTCTACACATGTGGAGTCCTGTAGCTCAGTGGTTAGAGCACTCGCTTTGCAAGTGAGAGATCTGAGTTCAATTCCAGGCAGGGCGAAACCTTGGGCAAGTTTCCTTACTCCACACAGAGCCTAATAATAATCCCTCCAAAAAACCCAAAACAATAATTAAATTGGTCATTTTCAATCTACGACTGTTTGTGGGACATTGCTGTGCGCAATTGGCTGCCGCGTTCGCCCACAAATATACAGTCAATTCACTTTACAGTGTGTTCTGTGAAGCGCTTTGGGACGTCCTCCTGACGTGAAAAGCGCTATATCAAATGCAAGGATTATTATTATTATTATTATTATTACACCTCTAGTTTGAGAAGTCAGAGACTGCACATTTCCACCCATTTCCATTCTGATCTTATCTGCTGGCAGTGTGGTACACACTGTACAGTATAATATTGAACAGTTTAGATATGCTTTTGTTCCTTTAATCTCAGGAAGCCTGATTTTGGAGAGTACTTTTTCTATGTTTAAAAACCTGCTGAGTGAGCTCATGTTATCTCATTTATTTAATACACTAATTCCAAATAAAGCACACCATTTCTTTTAATTCTGTCAGTAGACCCTGGGATTGTTGTATCATTGTATGTAGGGAGGGGGAATACTGGATATCAAAAATATACCTTGTGTTACCAGTTTGAACATGCCTGTGGACTACATTTTAGTTTAATTCTATTTCCTTTTCTTCTTCTACCGTGCCTCAGTAGTTAATTTATGTAATTGCTTCTTAAATGTTCAACTATTGATACCAAACAATAGAAACTTGACTTGCTTTCTGATGTCACGTAGTAGCTAAATAGGTTGATCACTTTTAAACTCAAATCCAGTAGTGAGGAAACAAAGTATGGAAGATGTAAACATGACCAAATCTCTAATGACAGTCAATCATCAAGCTTTCTTCTGTAGATTTATTCCCTTTTATAATCTCCTGGTAAAAAAATATCTTATGTATCAGTATTGAGACACTTGGATGTATAATGCAATAATAAGCAACACCTCCCATCAAGATAAACTCTTCCAATGAAGAAATCTCAGTAGGAGACTTTTGACAAGGTAGAATAGGGGAAAGAAATGTGGAGGAATCATTGTCCTTGGCTTTAGTACATTAAACATTGACAAAGTGCCTGAGATGCATTATATTTGGTCCCACCAAGCCCAGTTTGTAAACGTGTGTGCAGTTTTCTTATGCACCTATTTTCAGTTTTCTTTTCTTGTAAAATGAACTAAGGGCTTATCTCTTTTTCTTTTTGAAGTAATGGATGCCGTGTTGTGTGTTCTGATGGTGGAGGCTCTGATGTGCTTTGTAGGAATACTGCTAGAGGGCATTAGGTGGCTTTGTAGTAACTAGACTTAAATGCCATATTGCTGAATTTCTAAACCCAAATAATGTAGCCACATCCCATACACTTTAGTATAATGTAACTCCTATTTAGGCTTCATCTGGAATTGTCATTAAGTTATTGATGTGTTCTCGATATAAACTGATTGTGTGTTGAGTACAGAAGGTATTCACTATAAAACCTACTGAATAAATTTAAGCACTTTTCTATATGGATCTGAGCAACACATTTTTGGCTATTGCAGTAGTAAGTAGCGCTTGATTTTAAATGTTGCATTGAATTTTTTTAGATGAAGATAGATTGTCGAGAAGAAAGAGCATTGTGGAGACCGTATCAATCCAGGTGGATCTTATTGGTGTCAACATACAACAGGACAAGGTGCGACTTTGTTCTCCTATCTGAATCTACTTGAAGGGATAAAACCATTCAAATTTAAAACTTTTACAATACTTTTTTTTGGTCATCAGGGCGTCTGACACATGTAGAAACCCATTACTATATTATAAGGGTATGCAACCAGGTAGAGTCCCACCTATATACACAACCTACAAATGGAAATTTCCCTGTGTCTGGAATGAAATATGCTCTCTCCCTGGTGTGATGTACCTAATTCTAGGGAGTATTATGCTCAAGAGCTAAGACTAAGGGACCCCAGAGTTTGCATTGGAGTAAAGCTGGAGTTTACCAGCTAAAACTGCATTGCTTGCCATTAAGGGCACTATTTGCCAAACTTCCTCCTGCTTGTCTAGTTAGTACCACCCAACCTGTTAGAGCTTTGACTTGCATAGCTAACAAGCGTTGGTTGGGAAGCATCCCTGTTGCCAATCTCCCCCTCCAAATCCTGCTAATAAAGCAGGCTGGATGGCACTGTCGTTGGCAGTGCTCTCAAATACTGTAGATCTGCCTGGTTCAGGAACCGGACCACCAGACCACTACAGAGGATTGACACAATGCCGACATTCCTTTGCCAACTACGCCATCTTGGAGCCAGATTAGCTCCAAGGAGGAACCCCGCTTAAATTCTCTTCTCTCTCCCCCCCCCCACCCTCCCCCAGATAATATTAGGTACAATTTATTCCTTACCCTATTTTTGCTGAACGTGTAATCATTACTGTTTTGAAGCATTTTTTTGGGGGGGCGGGGGGTTGAAGATAATTTTTAAGGAAATCTTTTGAAATTGACCATACATTCCAATTGTTATGATTAAATGTCTAGTTGAGCATTGTTCCATTGCCAAAATATCTGATAAAATTCCATTTATTTTGCAGTGGATCTGGTTTGTTTCCTCATTTGCCTATCTACTGATCTCTCCAGGTTACACATTATTTGCCAATGCTGCTTAGTTAGAAACACAGAGAATTGTTTAACCATTCCCCTTTCCTGTCATAGTCACAATCGTATTTATAATAAGCCAATGAAATATTTTTTATATTATCCAGCGACTTGGGACGTCCTCCAGACTTGAAAGGAGCTGTACAAATGTAATCTTGTTCTTGTACATGTAAAGTCTAAGCTTCTTGTATTTGATTATTTTTCATTTACTTACTTTGTTTCCTCAGAGCAAGATGGCTGAAGAAATCACCTTTGAAACACTGAAGAAAGCCATTGGTATGCCACTTAGGAAAGCCATAGATAAAGAAGTACATTATAACAGGGCCACACTGTATCAGCAGATTTATGGGCCTTCAAAGCTTTTTTTTAGAGATTTTTCTTGACTAACTATGCAGCTATTAGTATTATTAGTTTAATGCAATTTTGCATAAAGGACCATTTGAACTACTTGTTATAATGAGTAACAGATTGTGAAAATACCTTGCTTAAGCCTTTAATCCATCTTTGGCCCCATAGAATGCAGTAATCCTATTAATATTTTCCCTTTGCATAAATTATTATTGCTGAGTGATGGAGTGCACATCAACAGCAACATTGAGCTTTGGCAGCTTTGCCCAACAATGTAATTTAGATTGCTTTGGTTTTAAGACTACAGAATGAAGTCCAGGTGCTAGTTTCAGTTTATATAAGTTTGTTTGTTTTGAGAGAAAAAAACATTGCCTTGGAAGGCTGGACAATCACTACTATCCGCACTACAAAACACAATTGTTCTGGGATTTCATGAATTCTGGAATGAAATGCAGTACCTTTGAGACCTTCCATACTGCTTGCTGGCCAAAGACTCAATTAAGGTCATCAGAATTGAAGCTGCCAAATAGTTTCACTTTGAAACCAGGTTTGAGACGAAGGAATTATTGAACTCCATATGCTAGCCTTGGTTTTTTCAGCACTGTAAATCTATCGGCTGATTTGTTATAGACATCATGAATTTATATCAACCTGCCATCTCAGAGATAAAGATAAAATGCAAGATGTTTATCAACACCACAGTAACTCACCTACACTGAAATTAAAAATCTTTATGAACTTTATTATGGCACTATACAGTTTCACAGTAGTAAATAATCCCTGCATTTGATGTAACGCCTTATCACATCTTCGAGATGTCTCAAAGAGCTTCACAGAATATACTGTAAAGTGAATTGACTGTATAATTTGTGGGCGAAACGCGGCAGGCAATTGCGCCCAGCGGTGTCCCACAAACAGTCGTGGATTGAAGTGACAAATTTATTTTAATTTTATTTTTTTTGAAGGAATTATTACCCCCAGAAAAGCAATCCACCAATTGACTAACAACCGGGTTCTTAACTATTGTTAGGTAAACAGAGGTGTGTAGAGTATAGAAACTTGCCCAGCATTTCGCCCTGCCGGGAATCAAACTCAGATCTCTCGCTTACAAGGCACGTGCTCTAACCACTGAGCTACAGGACTCCACTGTTTGGAGATGGGGCTGCTTTAAAGCACAATTTATGCATGAGTTCCTTGTGCCTAAAGTGTAACCTAGAAAACTAAAACTAATGTGTTGGATCATAGAGTGTTTACAGCACAAAAAGGCCATTCAGGCCCAGCGGGTCTGCCCTGGTGCTAGTTCTCCCACTAGAATTCTCTAATGCCATTCCCCAGCTCTTTCCCTGTATCACTGAATTTTTTTCAAGAATTTATCCTCTTCCACTTGAAATGCAGTCATAGACTTAGGTTTGACAGCCATTTGTGGTAAAGCGTAACCACACTCTAGCAACCCTCTTTTAAAAAGTTTGAGGTTTGAAAATATATTTTTAGTGCCATACAGTTTGTATGAAATTTTCAGTTTAATTTAATCTTATTTGCATTACCCATTAAAGCAGATAACCAAAACCTGGAAGAACAGGAAAAAGAAAAGCGGCGGCAAGTAATTGAGAAGTTTCAGAAGGCACCATTTGAGGAAATTGCAGCTCAGTGTGAATCCAAGGTGAGGTAACCTGGTAATGTAATTGCATTTACCTCAACTGCAGTGAAATTAAGCTGTAAAGTCTTTAACAATATGCATCTACTGCAGTATGTACCTGCGGCTTTTGTACGTTAGATCATAACATTTACATTTTGCCTTAAGTGAAAACCTTCATTATAATTAAAATGTAAGTTATTTTCTTAGTGTTTTTTCCCAAGGTGTAAGTAGTATTGTATATGAGAGGCTTTTGATGGATGTGTAATACGCAACCGATGATCTTCCCAATTGTTTTTTTATCCAGTATATGATCTTAATGGATAATTATAAATAACTCTTGTTTATGTTTACCATTATTATAGAATGTGTGCTTCAAATACATGATTTAAAAAATATTTTGCTTTGCACTGAGCATTATTATATCTATTTAACAGTTGGTAATCTTTGATTGCTTAAATTTAAACCTTGCAAAAGTAATGGATTGTTGATCTACAATATTGTTTAATGTCAGATTGCAGCAGTTTTTGTATTAGGAATTCCGTTTCAAACTAGTTTTCTTCTTTTCACAGTCGAACCTGCTCCATGACAAACTTGCGCAGATATTTGAACTGACAATTAGGTAAGTTACAATTTTGAGGAAGAAACGTAGATTATTTAATGTCTGACTTCATGGTACAGTAGTGGCCGACGTTTTTGGTCGGCCAACAAAATAAATTTTCTTGATTTAATATTTCTTGATTTATTGATTGAACATGGACTTAACTAGACTAGTGAGAATGTTTGGTGAACCACTTCTTGAAGGGTTTGCCACCACTGATGTAGAAAATTGTAATGTGTAATAAATTGTAATTGCAAAACATCTGTTTTCAAGACATGCAGTATCCATCAGTCCAGATCCCAAAAGATCCGCATCCTGAAACTGATTAAATATTTTCTTGTGATTTGCTTCCTTTTTGATGTGACATCATCTGCAAATGCTTAAACCTCCCAAACCTGCAGCGCTCTCCTCCATTCAAGCAGCGCTCTCCCAATCCTTCCCCCCCAAAAAACAATTGGTCACTCAATCCACAACTGTTTTTGGGACACTGCTGTGTGCCAATTGGCAGCCGCATTCCACCCACAAAATACACAGTCAATTCACTTTACAATATATTCTGTGAAGTACTTTGAGATGTCTCGACGACGTGATAAGGCTCTATATTAAATGCTAAATTATTATTGACCAAGCAGCAATCCATCCAAGCAGCACTTAGAAGTGATTGCAGTATCCTGGGTACGACCTGACCAGAGCACTGTCCATTTGAGTGTGACTTCTGGGTATCTCATTGTGAGAGCTTGAACAAAATCATCTCGTCCATTTAAGAATAGCTGTGGATCTGTTATTTTCTAAATGTTTGAAAATAGAATTAGATGTCTGTAATTTGCAAAGAAGTTTTGTAATTTAAGAGTAAATTCTTGAAATTAATGTTAATGAATTTTAAATGCTTTTGTTTTTCTCCCAACAGACCACCTCCAAGTCCATCTGGATCTGTGAATGTTGCAGGGGGCCATGTTCAGTACCATTCAATCCCAGTATATGAAATGAAATTCCCAGACCTCTGCGTTTATTAACCACTGGTTTTGTTCACAGGCATTTTGTCCTTTATATCTGAATGGGCAAATAACGAAATAAACACCAAATATAGGAAAAGGACAAAATAATGCAAATATTTAGTTTCCCACTGATGGATTATATTTCATATTAAGAAGGCGGAACAATTTTTCTTCCTACTAAACAAATCAATTAAAAATATCTTGGGATTTTCTGAACCAAATTTTACAGTATATTGTCATACTGTGTAAAAATGCATGTTGTACAAAAAAGTAGAAGCTTTTGAAGAGATATTTGTCACTAGTAAGTGTTTAGCGGTTGGATAAGCAGTTAAATTAGCATTCCCAGTGGTGAAAATAACCATAAACAAAATTAATATTTGGCTTTTTTTAAAAAAATTCCAGAAGTTTACATAAAACAGAGTAGAACTTATCAATGCAATAGTTTCTTGATTATATAACATTCCTATTAGTGTTGGAAGTTTACGCTTATTAGTAAATGTTGTAGCTTCGGCTCATTTATATTAGCTGAATCTTGGTGTAAGTCAGTATTCACTCTGTATTTCTGTGCTGAGGTAATCACATTGCAGAATGAATCCCACAAATCAGTATTGTCTAAATTTGCATGAATACCGTGGACTTGTGCGAAGTACTGGAGATCATCCGGCACCTATGAAATCACACCCGGTACAAGGAAAACTGAATGTAATGTCTACATCAGCATACATTAGACACACAAAAAATAAATTCCATCCTATTTAGAGTGGTATTTATCAAACCTACCTGCGATTGCACCGTTTAACTTAGTTGTGTTAATATATATATATAATCCTTGCATTAGATAGAGTATCTTCGCCTTATTTTTTTATTCTCTTCCCCCCCACACTCTCCAGCTAACACATCTTGAGGTTGGGGTGCAGCTTTTCTTGCTCCCCTCCCATTCTATGTGCTTATCTAGAAATTGACAGTAAGTCGGCTACTACTTGCCCCATGATAGGTATTAAAGCCAAGCCTGACCCCCTCACATGCTTTACACACACATGCACTTTCCAAGAGGGTCTATAAACAGGATTCCTGTTCCTAGCGAATGTCCATCCCCTGCATTTATGCTTCTTTCCACCCAAATTTTACTGCATTTATTGTACCATAATTTAATTTGACCTGATAATATAATATAGAAATAGTTGGTTTAAGCAATCTAGGAACAGGGTGCAGAACTGTTTTCAGATCATAGTAATGCTTCATATCAATAATATGCAATGTGAGTGTGTGATTGTTCCATTCATGCTGTAGTGATTGATTTTCAATATGAAAGAATTTTTCATTTTGTTGATTTGAATAATATACATTTTTATAGACAAATTAGTTTTTTCTTTTCCCTTTGTGGAGTCTTGACCCTGAAAAGTGCATTGGCCTGTTCCCAGGATCACACTTGAGATTTAAGAACTCCCTGTTTGACCAAATAAACCCATGTCCAAGTATGACAGTGGATTGCAGATCTGTGTTGTACTTGCTTCAAGATACGTTTTTTTGTTTTATCACAATTATTTTGTAGATGGATTCAGATTTGATTTTTTTTAAAAAGAGAGACCTTTGGTTCTGATGTTTTTCTGCATTATGATTCAGAATCAAATATACATCTACATAAGCCAAAGTGTGATTTATTTGAGAAATTGGCAAAGCATGGAAGTGTCTTAATATTGTTAAGATTTTATTTTAATAATTTGAGTTTGCAGCACCACAACTAATGAAAGTAATCTTTGCTTAAACAATCATCTCATACATTTCAGCTACCAATTGAACTTATTTCCATTTGGTCTCATTCCCAATGTAGCCCATTTTCCAAGAAGAAACCAGCTATTGATTTTGTAATTGTATGTGGGCTCCAGTAACCATTGTATATTTGTAAGTTGCAGAACAGATAGGTAGTGGTATTTCCAGTTTTAAGTGCATTGTACAAAAATGTTTACATTGTTGGATCTGTGATCATTGTCCACCGGTGTACAAATGTGAATTTATGCATTAGATTGTTTTTAAATGTACTTTTAGAAAGTTAAATTATCACCAGATATTTTTCAACCATGCAAACTTTGGGCACATAGATGTTTTTTTGAATGTTGAAAGAAAAAACTATACCCTGGATTAATATGAACATAAAATCATAAATAAATTAAATAAATGTATTACACTCAACAGTAGCCACATTTATGAATTAAAATGTACTCAAAGCAAGACTACCCTTTTTTTAAAACAACACATAAAAGTTCACAGATCAATCTGGTAAAACAAGATACCATAAAATTCAATTGCCATTTTCTTTAGAGAGGTGGGGGGGTGGTCTCAAATCAAACTAAGCAAAACACATTTTGTTTATGATGCCAGAATGGTTTTTAAGAATTCCTGACACAAAGTAATGTGACTTTTTTTCCTCATTGAAACTCAAATTAAATTAGGCTAACTAGCATCTAATCTTCATTTTGGGTTGATTCAATATATAGATTTTTGCATGCAACATAAAATGTTATATATATTTGAAAATGTTGGATGAATCCCTCTGTCTTAATCTGCTATGTTTAGTGAAAAGAATGTCAGTATATCAGTGAAAATTACATTAATCAACTAACAGAAAATTGCATTAGTTAACACTTTGTGCATTCATTTTTAAAACCAAACAAATAGTAATTCCAATTTAATAAGCATGTCGGAATTATAATCACCCATGAACATGGCCGTTTGGGTATGTGAATAGTAAACAGTTTATATTGGTGATAATTCTTCATTTATGTTAGTAATTGATGATTTAAAATTTGTTTAAGCACTTTTAAATGACCACTCACTGTACTTGAGAGCAGACTACTTGTACTTGTCCCCAGCAAATAGAGGTGGTGTAAATTGTGCCAGTGCCAAAGGTACTGTTTTGAAATTCCATGAAATCTTGTGTTCTTTGTTGTGATTCCTTGGCAAGGGAAATATTCAACTTAAAGGTGATCTGCTTTTAAGCTCAGTTCAAACTGTGATTAGATGTGTACGCGCTGCAATCGGATGTGTACGCACTGTTTAGTATGCTGGAAACATGTACATGCTGGATAAAGTGGACTATGATGATGTCAGGCAATGTTTCACATCCAGGTAGATCTGTTGACTGTTTAGCACGTGTTCACTATTTAGACCTGGTCAACTTCCATGAAAATGTTAAATCTGTTGTATAAGTTGCATAATTACAAAGAGCTAAATATACCCATTTAATGTGTCAAATATTTTTTGATGGTGTTTTTAAAGGGTGGGGGTGGGGGGTTCTAAGTTTGGGGAGGAAGGAAATGTCTTCAAAAGATCAGTAAATCCTGATAGAGAAATCGAGAGTACAGCAATAATTAGGGCATTTTGTTACCTAATGTTTACAAAACAAGTAAAGTAACAAGTTTACATATGTAAACTAAAATATTTTGTCACCTACTATACTCCTGAGTTTACACCTTTGGCAATTATAAGGAAGTGCTGGAATACTAAACGCCAACCTTTATCTCAGTATTTCACCATTGCAGCTATGCTTTGTTGGACACTAATATTTGATGAGCACTGTTTCAATGGGTAGGAAACCAATATTTCCTCCTCATCCAAATTCACAAAAAAAAGTTAGTTGGCTATTGCTATTCATAGAATGTTTCTATGCAGATGAGTCACTAATTAGCTACATAAGTAATTTCGCTAAACTATTGTGCGAAGAGCCTGGATGCATTTTAAAGTGAGAAGACATTATTCTATCAAATGCAAGCATTCAGCTTCATAAAAAGTTTTCAGTAACTTAAAGGTCTCTTTCAAAAGAGGACCAGCTCAACGTCCTTGGTCGCTTCTCAGAATGTTATGAATCCTCTTATTTACTCACCTCTAATCCTTTCAAAGGCAAGAATTAATGAATGAGCAGTGCACTGCTTCCAATGGTACAGCAACAAGACCATCTTGTTTGATTTTTACATCTCTGCTAATAACCTTCCAGTGCCTAGTCCCATGGATCTTGGTCATACCTTAATTGGATCAGCACCGTGTTCTTGATGAAAGTTACAGCCTTATTCATGTTTCCCAAAAGCAGCCACTTAATCTTACACATTATCATCATCTTTGACAATATATAAATCCGTTTCCAAGAAAGAGCAAGGTGTGCATCCGATCTGTTGATCAAGCTTCTAGAGCTAATTCTAAACAAAGGGTTGCAGCTTCAGTATAAATTTGACACCAAACTATATTATCTTGCAATTTAGCACATTTAAAGGTAAAATGCTGTGAAATCCAATTGGATTACAAACAAAAAACAATGTGACTGATTTATTTTGTTAGCCTCGCGAGGGACCCATCGCCTCAGCTGGTCCTCACCAACAGCACCCGCACCATCATCAGCGCCCGCACCACCATCCACGACTCTCTTGAGGGCTCAGCCAATCAACAACCAGCTGCCGCGTGACTGTATCCCACCCGCCTCATTTGAATCTTGAGGCCGGGACTCATGGGGAAGACATCACTGCCCCATCTACTCACCGAGCCTCACCAGCCCAGCTCAGCGGGCTAACCATGGCTCGCTGAACACTCCTGTCCGCTCCGAGTCTCAGTGTGTGTTGGCCGCCGCAATTGACCCGAGTTGCTTCCCCAAGATGTTCCCGACCCCGTCCCCTTCCCTCCACTACCGCTCAACCCTCCTCTTCCTCCACCTGCCTCGATTCCCCAACAGTCTCCCTCTGCTCCTCCCTTCACATTGTTAGAATATACATTTTTTGTATACTGCTAGAATCATAATAGATGTTGTGAATGGGTTAACTTTTAAGTTAAGTGTGGAGGGCAACTGGACTGACTGGCATGGGATAGGACACATCTTTTTTCCTCTGTTTTTGAAAGAATAACGGACAGCTTTGGAAAAGGGCAGGGGGTCACCTCTTATCAGTAAATGACAACAAGCCCACAGAGGTAACGGTCCAAGGTATTGGTCGACACAGGATCTTGACTTAGCAATAAGTTGCTAGATTCTGACAGGGCCTGCCAAGCGACCAAAGGCAACCCTCAAGAATAGCAACTAATGAGCTTAAACTTAAGCTTAAGTTTAACTTAACTTAAGTTTAACTTAAGCTTAAACTAATGCTTAAACTAGAGGACTTTGGTACCATCCCGGGATAAGGAATAACCAGTCACTTAAAAGAAATGTACTAATGATCCCACACCACAAAATAATGAGCACCAGATACAGCCCTAAACTGATCAATCCTCTAAAGACAATTAGATCAGATAACAGGGGTCTTAAGGACAATGTGTATGTGTGTGAGGCACGTACACCCCATGAGGTGCTCATGTACACCCGGCATGATTTCGACCGGGTGGTCTAATGTCCGCACCATGATTGGATGAGCATTGGTATAAGAGTTCCGTTAACTTTGTGAACGGGGCCATCTCGGGTCGCGGAGACAAGGATACGGGAGATGGAAGACAGAGCTAGAAACACTGAGACTGAGGATATCAGATGGAAGATTGAAAGCTGTAAGCAAGAAGACTGAAAGTATGAAGAATCAAGTTTGTGTGCTGTAAACACACAGTATTGAACTCGAGATATCTACGATGGTATTATTCTGTTACAAGATCTGTTGATTGTACCAGCCTTTGGTCCCTTTCCCCCCCTCACCTCCCAAACTGCCTCATACTCCCGTAAATCCCCCTGGTACACCAGCCATCTCCGTTCCCTCAAGGCACAAGTGCAAGCTGTCGAACGCACCTGGACCAATTCCAAACTAACGGTCCATCGGCAGATCTGGCTTCACCACACCAAGATCTACGGCTGCGCTCTTGCCTTTGCCGAATCCTCCTACTCCAAGGTTATCTTGGAGGCAAAGGACAACCCCCGGCTTCTCGTTTCCATCACAAACCGTCTCCTCCGTCCACCTTCCCATACCTCGTCCATCCTCTCTTCAAACTCCCAAATGTGAGGAGATGCTGGATTTCCTCGAAACCAAAATTGAGGGGATATACTCAGCCACCTCTGCCATGTCCACAGCCAGCTCCACATCACCTCTCCCTCATGACCTACCCCCACCCATCTCCGCTATGCTCCTTCGATCTTAGCTCTCCCTCCTCCCTCTCCGCGATTGTTCGCAAACTCAAACCCACCACCTGCTCCTTCGATCCCATCCCCACCTCTCTGCTTATCTCCCAACTCCACCTTCTGGCCCCTCTCCTGTCCGATATCATCAACCTCTCCTTGTCAACCAGTTCAATTCCAACCCCCCTAAAAACAGCTGTCATCCCCCCATCCTGAAAAAACCTTCCCTGGACCTATCCCGACTCTCCAGCTACCGCCCCATCTCTAACCTCCCATTCCTCTCCAAGGTCCTGGAACGAGTCATTGTGTCCCAGCTCCACTCCTTTCTTTCTCGCCATTCCCTCTTTGAACCCCTCCAATCCGGCTTCCATGCTGCCCACAGCACGGAAACACCCCTGATCAAAGTCACTAATGACATTCTGAACATCTGTGATCAGGGCTTCCTCTGCCTCCTTGTCCTCCTCGACCTCTCTGCCACCTTCAACACTGTCAACAACTCCATCCTCATACACCGCCTCTCCTTAATCGCTGCGGACCTGCCCTTGCCTGGTTTGATTCCTATCTTTCTCACCGTCTCCCCTTTATTGCCTCCTAACGGTTTCTCCTCCATCCCCCGCACTGGCGTCCCCCAGGGCTCTGTCCTTGGCCCTCCTCTTTAATATCTACATGCTCCCCCTTGGTGACATCATCCACAGACATGGAGTCAACTTCCATATGTATGCGGATGACACCCAACTCTATCTTTCTGCCTCCACCCTCAACTCCAGGACGACTGATGTCCTGACAGACTGCCTGTCGGATATCAAGTCCTGGATGAGGGCAAATTTCCAACAGTTGAATGTGAACAAGACTGAGGCCCTCCTGATCGGATCACGCCAGTTTAACCAGCAAAAAACACACAGCAAGCCATTGAGAGCAAGCTCAGACCACCCTCAGAGTTAACCCTCTAACTTGAGGAACCAGGTGAAAAAATCCAGTCTGCAGTACCTTGTCGAGTTCTATGCTGTCAAACTAGGCTCATTGGTCTGTTATCAATAGGGCATTAAGTGTGACTCAGTGCTACTGAGACTGCCATAAATGATCAATTTGATTTTAATTCTCCTTTGTGTGCATGTGTAGGTTTGTTAATCAGTGTTTTAAACTTTATGCATCAAAATAATTACTCCTATTACAAATATTTTCTGCAAATGTACCTTGGTTAATTATTACCAATTGCATTCCATGAGAAAAAACAAACATCATGATTATAAAACTGAATTACCTCAAAAGACTCAGCAAATAACTTAGTGCTTAGTCAATGTAAAGCGAATGTTGGCAGAAAAATCTACCCATCATTAATCTTTTTCAATTGCCCATCATGAAATCACAGTTTCACCAAACTTTGATTCTTTTATCAAACTTCTTCGTGTCAGATCTTCATTATTACTCCTGCTATCTTTGGCAAAGGAGCACACCTCATGCTATGATCTGCCATCTAAATACAAATTGTAAAGCATTAGTTACTTAGAAATCATTAATGGATTAATGATCCATAAATAACAATCGTTGCATTTAACACCTTATCATGTCGCTGAAAAGTCTCAAAAGTGCTTCACAAGATTTTACTGTGAAGTGTAGCAACAGTACATTTGTAGGCAAATGTGGCAGCCAATTTGCGCTCAGCAATATCTCCCAAACAGCCATGAAGGGAATGATCAATTTTGAAATCAATTCAATGCAGAAACACCCATCTTTCAAAACCAGTTTAGGTGATGCTACCATCTGTCTAAGATGACAAGTGTGGTATTCTTTTAAAATAGGACCAGGCTTTCACCTTCTCAACCTTTTTATTCCTTATCATAATTGTGAAATTGTAGAAAACGACTGCCAGGAATATTAGGACTTTCTCATTCCTTATCACTCAATGTATGAAGTGTCAGGGACTGAACATGTGTGAATGGATCAGCAGGTATAGAGAGAGTGTCTGGGGAAAAGAAAGACTTATTAATGACTAATAACTCTGCTACCAAAAATTGTTTCCTTCATCTATGATCTCTAGGCAGAACTCGAATGTTTTGGTTCCTCCTAACCTTTAATTTAATACAGAACACTATTTAAATTATAAAATCTGATTCGCTTCAAACCCCACATGCATACATTGCTAATTTAATTGCTTTTTGACTCGGCCGATGTTCCTTTACAACCAGAGGTTCAATTCTCGAAAGAGGCCAAGGCTCAGACAGCCTCAGACACTGACAGAAACCAGATAAGAAAAGGTGAACTTTGCATTAAATTATTTTCAATCTGACCACCTTTGAATTTCTCCAATGCCTTTGCAGCCAGATTCCTAACCATTGTTGATTTTTCACAGTTGTGTAGGAGTCCTGTAGCTCAGTGGTTAGAGTGCTCGCCTCACAAGTGAGAGACGGGTTCAATTCCCGGCAGGGTGAAACCTTGGACAAATTTCCTTACTCCACACGCCTGATAATAATCCCTCAAGAAAAAAAACAAAAATAATTTGGTCACTCAATCAACGACTGCTCGTGGGACACTGCTGTGCGCAATTGGCTGTTGCGTTTTGCCCACAAAATTTACAGTCAATTAATTTTGCAGTATATTCTGTGAATGTCTATATCAAATGCAAAGATTATTATATTATTATGGAACACCTACAATACAAAGATGCTGTTGGTAATAAATAATAATCCTTGCATTTGTAATAGTGTCTCATAATATCGTTACGAAACATCTCCAAGCACTTGAAGGAGGGTCGCACCCAGAAAACAAAACTTGCACAATGGTTTTATCAATAAAAAGAAAAGTTTATTTTGAAAAGGAAACTCTACCTTTTTACATACAGATTCCCCTTTATTTCGCTCCAGTTCCCAGCTATATACTGGTGCTCTCTGCCATTTGCTGGTGCCTAATTAGCAGTTAGGGCTGCAACTTCAAACAAGCCTATTTGGAGTCTAGTCCTTGTTCGCTCCCTTGATTGAGACACCTTTTTTCAACCTAGGTACAAAAAAACATTCTGCTTTACATGTAGGTTGAGCGACAATAACCATGGTAAGCAGGGACAGAGTTTATCCTCCTATCATTTTGCTTTGCAAAATTTAATTTATAGTGTAGTGACTATAGTCACAGATACTATATATACAAGACTGGAGTCCTGTAGCTCAGTGGTTAGAGCACTCTCCTCGCAAGCGAGAGGCCTGGGTTTGATTCCTGGCAGAGCGAAACCTTGGGCTCGTTGCCTTACTCCATACACCTCTGTTTACCTAGCAGTAAGTAGGAACCCGGTTGTTAGCTGATTGGCGGATCGCTTTTCCGGGGATAATAATTCCTTCAAAAAAAATTAATAATAATGAATTGGTCACTCAATCCACGACTATTTGTGGAACACTGCTATGTGCAATTGCCTGCTGCATTTCGCCCACAGTCATGGTTTAGCATCTCATTACCCACAAAATATACAGTCAATTCACTTTGCAGTGTATTCTGTGAAGCGTTTAGAGATGTCTCAAAGACGTGATAAGGTGCTATATTAAATGCAAGGATTATTATTATATTTTGCAATCAAACCAGTTTAGGCGATGCTACCATCTGTCAAGATCACAGATATTGCATTCTTTTAAAACAGGGTTAGGCTTTCAGCCTCTGTCATTGACCATTTTATTCCTTCAGAAACCTGCAATTTATCACAACAATTGTGAATTTGTAGAAACAGCCAATTCATGCACAGTGATGTCCCACAACCAGTCATGAAGTGGCTATGATGTAGGTGGATAATGTGGAAGCTGATATCAATGAATGCTTACAGCTCTTAATTAAACATTCTGCTCAAGTCACACCCGGATTCAAATGCGACTCTTTCCACACGGCAGAAGTTAAGAGTATCCAGTCAGGCAGATATTATAGAGATCCAATATCACTAAGAGATTGGTGCATGTTATGAAGGGTGCAGTTGAGAGAGAAATGTCCTGCCAAATGGTATCAAATGGTATCAAGTTCAAAGCTACTCCATTAGGAATTGAATGGAAGACAACTGTCACACTACAAAGTAACTCAATGTGTGAAGCATGCTGAGATATTTCAAGTGATAAGAAGCTGTGTATTTTGATCAGCTGAGAACACAAAGAAGTAGAGTTGATTGCCAGTACTCTCCTGGAGAACATATGTGTGATTGTAATTTAAAATGGCCACTTGGGTATTGTTAGAATTGAACCAGCTGAAACCATGCAATTTACCAATGAGAGACATGGTAACTTTCCTGTTGCTTGTCCAGTTGGATATCCCTAATTAGCGCATTGGCTTGCAGTGGTATCAGTTGTGAATGGGATGAGATGAGTAATCCCATTTTACAATGATATTTCTATCATGGCGAGCGCTAACAGGTCAATTTGAACAGTCGTGCAGACCCATTCAGCTCAGGTAATAGATATTAAATCTAATTTACAGTATTTTGTAATCGCATTCCTGTCAATCTGCAAGCATGGTACAATGGAAACACAACGTTTCACAGAGTTCCCACTGGTCAGCATAACATACATCTGGTTACCTTTTGTCTGACACACTCCTTATTACATAATCCTGTAAATTAAACCCCACTAAATCTTTATTAGTTTTTATTCGTTGCAAAGAAAATAGTTATCCAAAGTTGTGATTTATTTTTTTATCAGTCTGACACATGTATGCTTTCAGTGCTTTCAATGACATCTTTTGCTGGTTTAATTCCAGCAGTACCCCAACACTTGGTTTGACAAAATAAAAACAATACTAAAGCCTATATAAAACTTTTTGATTTTACATTCATCTCTCCAGTAGTCTTGGTTGATAAACATGGAACATAGTTTTGAAAGAAAGCATAAGATTGGCTTGTAAAGTACATTCTGTTTATTGATATCAATCTGCCACTACTTCGCACTGATTCCCAAAGAAATTTGCACAGCCTTATTGTTTTTCAACAAGTCCATTAAATGAAATACCACCATTAGAAATTGGTTTTGATCAAAAAAGAGTGATAGTGGCAATGTTGAGTAGGTTATTTCTTCATCATTACAACATAGCTCAGATAAGGTAATCAACCTCCATGCAATCTAGGTCTCTGATTGAGTGAGCAGATCACTGATAGTTAAAAAGATACTACTTTTCATTGGAAGAAAGATGGGGGTAATCTACTAGGTGGTACTAGATTTCTTCTACGTCCATCTCGTGGAGTTCCTCTTCCACGTAGACCACCTCTGAATGGTCTTGCAGGAGCAGGTCCATCTTCATCTGATAGTTGAGAAGAGGGAGGAGCTGGAGTCTCAGAAAAAGGTCCACCTCCACGTCGCCTCTCCAATGGTCGTCCACGGCCAGGTCCACGTAGTCCAGTCCCACCAACCCTTTCTTCAGCACTCTCCTCAGAACGTGGCCCACCATGGGATCTGAAACTATCTGGAAGTGCTCTCTGCAGTTCAATTTTGCACGAAGCTTGTTCGCCCCGACACTGCTCTTTATTTAGTCCTTGCAAGGTGCTGTTATACACTGAGGCAGATATACACTCAGCAGCCGCTTTATCACACGAACAAAGGAATTGATCGCAAAGTGTCAAGCCAGTACCTGCAAGCCAAGAATTTTATAGTAATCAATAATTCAATAATTTGATATAGCACCTTAATACGTTGTTGAGATGTCTCAAAGCATTTCACAGGATACACTGTAAAGTGCAGTGATTGTGTACTTTGTGGGCAAACGTGACAATCAATTTGTGCACTGCATTGTTCAACAAACAGCCATGGAGTGAGTGACCAATTTTATTTGGGGGATTGTTGGCCAGGACATCAGGTGAATCTCACTTCTCTTTTGAATAGTGCCTTGGGATCTTTAACGTCCACCTGGACAGGCAGATGGGACCTCATTTTAACATCTTATGGGCAGCTTTTGCAGCAATGCAATGCCTGAGGCCTTTATTTCCATGTATTATAATATCCTTTCATTTGATTTAGCTCCTTTCACATTAGGAGAATGTCTCAATGCTCTTTCCTTCATTAGCTTAAATATTACTTTTCTTCAAGTATTTGTCCAATCAGGTTTTAAAAACCGTTTTGCAATTAGCTTCAATACCCATTTGTAATAAAACATTCTAAAAGGCCCGTGTTCAAAAAAAAATCCTAACTTTTTCCCTTTTTTCATTTTGGTGATTATCCTCAATTCATGTCCTTTTGTTATTGATGCTCCAGTCAGTAGAAATAGCTACTCTATTCAGGTTATCAGATCCGTTCTTAATTTTATAACTTTTGTTCATCTCTTCCCCCTTCCCTTCAACTCTGTTCTAGTAAAATCAGTCACATTTCAAATCTCTCCACACAGCTATAACATCTGGTCCCTGGTATCATCTGAGGGAACAGATCAGTGAAACTTTAAGGAATTGTATTGGCTTTGACACACCCTTATGTAGACAGATCTATATCTCTAACAAACCTGTGTATTTCCTCATTTTATACACACTCGCCTCGGAACGTTCAATTCCCTGGCAGCGCAAAACATTGGGCAAATTTCCTTACTCCACACGCCTCTGTTTACCCAGCAGTAAGTAGGAATCTGGTGTCAGTTGATTGGCAGATCGCTTTTCCGGGGGCAATAATCCCTTCAAAAAAATTGCTCACTTAATCCATAACTTTGTGGGACACTGCTTTGTGCAATTGGCTGCTGCGTTTCGCCCACAAAATGTACAGTCAATTCACTTTACAGTATATCCTTTGAGATGTCTCAAAGACATGATAAAGCACTATATCAAATGCAAGGAATATTATTATCATAGTGTCCTGTTCTTGATTTGCAACCATCAATTGAATCAGTTCAAAGTTGTGGAATGACAATAATTTTCTTGTGTTTTTCTCCCAATCTTTTATGAGATTAACTCTCTTAAGGGTTTGTATTTATCCTCCTGCTTTGTCAATCATGATGTTGCTGCAGAGGGTTGACAGTATGAGATACAGATTTCTAATATCCTATTCTATCAACAAGACAAACTGGTATCTTTAATGACATTAGCTGCCTCTAGGTTGCTTAGGTCTTAGCAACCTAGGACTGCAGGACTGCAGGATCTTTTTATGTAAAACCTGCATGTTTGTGGACAATTCATAATATTACAAAAGAATGCAATAGGTTTGAGAGGAAGAGAAGAGTACAGTATTGTTTTCAGAGTTATAATCAGCTGTTAAGATTCATAGATGGAGGTAGCTGGTTATTGATGAAAGTAGTTTCCACAGAACACATAATAAACTGCACTTCACAAGAAAGTGACAACTGTATGTCACTGTATTCAGAACATGGTTTAGAACTCTTCTGTGAGTCTTCAGAATGTGCATCTTTCCCTTCAATTCCTCACAATAGTGTCAGCGATCATCTCACCCTCAGAATTTCTCCTAGACTTTGTCAGCCTATAAACCTTTCTGTGGTATGTTTCAGTTTGACATGGGTTCCCAAGAAGGAAGGGGTGAAAGTCTTGTGCCCATCAACTTGTCAGTGTGAGTCACCCGTACGTGAGAAGGCTACCAGATGAGGCTCAATTGATAGCACAGGGCAAAATACTGCAAATGCTGGAAATCTGAAACAAGACCAGAAGCTGCTGGGAACACTTAGGAGGTATGGGTCTACCTTGCTGCCTGCACTGCCCAGCAGCTTCTGTCTTTAGTTTGGATTTCCAGCATCTGCAGTATTTTGCCTTTTATGTATTGATGTCCTCCTGACGTGACACATGTTAAATGCAAGAATTATTATTAATTATTATTATTATAGCAGTCAAGTATTATGAATTAGATTCACCCAACTTGATCCAGCTCAGGTGTTTATCTCTTAAAACTGTACCGTTCAGTTTATTTCCGAAGTTCAAATGCTGTGCAGGGAATAATTTCTACTTTGCACAGAATAGGAGAAACGCACTGCAAATCCTGATAGATGATTTTAAATGCAGTCTCCGTGGAGACCTGAGCAGCACTTTGGCATCATGCCAGTACCTCACCTACTGTGTTGCTGTGCAGCTTCATCTGACTTCTCCTAGTTAATTACATGTGGCTCATCAATTCTCACTGTAGATTGTCTCAATTAATAAGCTTTTGAAACGGCCAATAGACTCAAGGGAAAGCATGAGGGGAGCTGCTAAAATTATAAATAAATTGTTGGAAAATAATTGCGGAGAAAGAAATACAAGATAAAAAGGGATGCACCTGAGAAAACAAATTACTTGTGTCGACTATTGATTTTTATTTACTCCAGATCTCCAGATGAACAAAGCCTCAGCTTTGTAGACTAAGCCTGTGGTTAACTTTTCATTCATTTTTCATCATTGGACCGCATCACTCTTCTATAGAGTTGGGAAATATATATATATATATACACACAATTCCTGCTGGACAACGTAATTACTTGCTAATCATCTAAACTAATATAGATATATGGTTATAGATCTGCATAAATTTCTCAAAATTTTTATCAAACTGTGTTTTTGTCAACTGTTGACAAGCTTTCTTGGATTTAACCAAGAGGAACATAAGATTAATAGAAAAGGTTTCATAAATAAGATAATATATATTCAAAGCCTATTACATCTGTATTAGCCTTCACCCCCTAATTTGGTTAGCTGCTCAGTAACAAAAGCATACATGTGGCTTGTTGGTCCATGCAGTACACCTGACCAGTCAGGCTTTGGCCTGCCCTGCAGCCCAGCTTTCTAGCCTCATCCAAGCAACAGTGATGATAGAAACAGCATCTATGAAAGGGCACACAATGAAGGGATTATTTGTACAGCATTTATAACACAATGTAACATTGAACAAACTATTATGCCCTAATTTGCTGATTAATCAGAGCAGAAGTTCCGCATGGATATAGACAGACTATTTTTTTAAATCTCAGTGCAAAGGAATTTGGGCAAAATCTTAAATGCATTGGTGATTTGGGAGCAAATTTTCTCTAGTCCTTAAAAGAAGCTACAGAAAACTGGCTTCAAAATTAAGACTGACGGAGTTTGTGCTTGATTCAACTTCAAAATCATAGCTTTCGCCTCCCATACAGTGGGGTAGCAACTTTCCATCATCTTACTAACCAGCAAGCAAAAAGTGGGATTTGCAAGCCTAGGTCAAATGCACAACCTGGCATTGAGGGAGCCACGTGGAAAGTGGTGGGAGGGATGGGGGCTGGGTGGGGAAAGATCACTAAAAACACAGTCAAATAGATTGGAAATCAGAAAGGGAAGGGGTGAGAATGAGAGATTATGGGAGAGAGTTTTAGGGAGTGGGGGCCCAGTGGCAGAGGGAGAGGCCAGAATCGCAGGTATGGAAGTATTCAAAGGGGAAGATGTAGATCTTAAAGTTGACTCACTGGAGAATAGGGAGTCAGGGGGAGGATGGGAAAATAATGGGAATAACAATAATAATCCTGGCATTTGATATAGCGCTTTTCACATCTTCTAGACGTCTCAAAGTGTTTCACAGAATATACTATAAAGTGACTTGACTGTATTTTGTAGGCAAAACACGGCAGCCAATTGCGCACAGTAGTGTCCCACAAACAGTCGTTGATTGAGTAACCAAATTATTATTATTTTTTTAAGGGATTAGTATCAGGCATATGGAGTAAGGAAACTTGCCCAAGGTTTCGCCCTGCCGGGAAGCTAACCCAGGTCTCTCGCTTGTGAGGCGAGTGCTCTAACCACTGAGCTACAGGACTCCAATATCCCACAAAAAGGAGAGAATTATTATGATAACAGTCATGAAGTGAATGTTCAATTTTAGTCTTAAAATGGTCAGGATGCCAAGAGAAACTGGCTTCTCTTTTCAAGTATTGCCATTGGATCTTTAGTGTTCAACTGAACTGGCAGACTGGACATTGATTTAAAATCTCATCCAAAGAATAGCACCTCCAACAATGAGGCACTCCCCCAGTTCTATACTGGAGTGTCAGCCTATGCTATGAGCTCAAAGTGAACACAACTTTTTACGCATAGGAGATCGCATTACTAACTGAGCGAGACTTTTTGATCCCAGTGCAATGCTGGTGATTGCTGCCTTGATAGAGGTGTTATCCTTCAGATGAGACATTAAACCAAGGTCCTGTCTGCCTCTTCAGATGGACATCAAAGATCTGATGAGACTATTTAAAAAGAGAAGGGAGTTTATCACCGTGTCCTGGCCAACAATTACTCAGATAAAATTGGTCATTCACTTCATAGCTATTTGTGAGACATTGCTGTAAAAATCGGAAGCTATGTTTCCCTGCAAATATGCAGTCATTCCACTAAACAGTAAACTACACTGAATTGCTTTTTGACATCTTTCAACAATATAGGTTATATCAAATGCAAGGTTTAAATATAACTCTTTCTTATACATTGCAAATCAACTGTAATTCAGTAGCAATGATGTGTTTTACTCTATTGCAAACTGTACCTGTCTAGTTCATCGATGGGGCGGCCTCTCCCTTCCTGGCCACAGAAACAACCATACTGTTCAAAGTCATATGGACACCGTCCAGTTAAACAAAGCAGAAGCTCTCCCATCTGAGGCAATTCATGCTTCAATCTACCATTCTCCTTCAGACGTAGGAAAGTTCTTCGATCACAATCTGTAGAGAAACATATTCTAAATATTTTTATTGCTGCACAGTGGGTGTCACCGTGGATATAAATTAGTCAATTGCGCACTTCAGATGCAGTGTTTGTTGAAGATAAGGACTGAATACGTCATGGTTAATTCGCTTGAAGATCTCATTTAAATTTTAACTTCTATTTTGTCCTCGGTGACTAATTAAAAAGAATGGTTAGTCTGAAACTCAGCTCACAAAAGCACTGAATTTCTCTACTTAAATTATTATTTGATGGAGTTAACAGGTTGGAAATTGCTTTAAAAAAAAGTGTTTGCGCTGAGCCAGCCTTTCATTTGCGGGCTGGGGACAGTCGTAGCAAACATTCCCAAATGGAGACTTTAAGGCCTAGGTATTTTAAAGATCAACATGGTGGTCAGACTGGCTCACTTAGTAGCATTCTCACTTCGGAGTCAGAGGTTATACTTCAAGTCCCACATTGTGTCTTGGGACTCATAGTCTATGCTGACACTCCAGTGCAGTTCTGAGGGAAGGTACTGTCCTTCAGGCGAAACATTAAATCCACATCACTGATCACAAGAGAAGAAAGCCCTTTGGCCCATTTGACCTCGTCCTTCACATCATTTTTTAAAAATGAATCCAGGTTCCTGGCCTCAGTGACCCTTAATTACTTTCTGGGTGAAGAAGTACTTCCTAGTGTCTGTCCTGAAATTGCCCTTTAGACACATAGAAACAAGAGTAGGCCATTCAGTCCCTCGAGCCTGTAAGACCATTCTATAAGATCCTGGCTGATCTGTACCTTACGTCCAATTACCTGCCCTTGCCCTGTATTCCTTAGTACCCTGACCTAACAAATATTTATCCACCTCAGTATTGCAAGCTTGAAACCTCTTGTTCTCTTAATGTATCTGAAACTATCAAAGAGGAAATGAATTTCTGCTGGTATCATGGCCAACAAGTTTCCGGGAGAACATTTACTTCACAGTTTTTTGGGATTTTGCTATGTGCAAAATGACCAGGATACTTACCTACACAATGCACTGACTAAACCTGAGAAATACTTTTCAATGTAATAAAAGCTTTAAAAATGCATCCTTACAAAAAGGAGAATTTTTTAAAAATGCCTTATCATGTCAAAATGGCTGACAGCTCTGTGCAGTAATTACTGCCAAGTGTAGGGACCGTTTTTATAGAGGTTGTTGAATAATATTAGACCCTATAGTTTGACATTAGTCCCACACACATTGGTGGAGATTTTATTTGAGACTTAGTAAAAATCGTCAAAAGAACTTAACCCTACATTATGCCTGATTGATTTGCTGCACATCATATCGTTTTGAATTAGGAAACCACTTTGCATGATATTGTCTAATCGAGCTGTATATGTGACAGCACATTAGTGAGATTAATTGCAGTGTTAGTAGGTTATTTAAACTAAATATGCTCACCGTCCTCCGCAATCACTTCCACTGGTATTCCAGCTGCAGCCCCAGGCACCTGGGGGCCTGTAACACCATTTACTGTACTCTGTTCAGGTGCCTCAAGGTCTGTTATAGGAGGTTAATCATGTTGTAATCCTTGCCGATACAAGCACTGTACAAAAGGCAAACTATATTCTATATACATTGCAATTAACACTGTATTTAACTGTATTTAACTACTGCCACTGAAGGATCAATAGTTATACTTATTCTCTGGGTGGAATTCAACGGTATATTTTGTGGAATTAATATAACCATTTACAGTAGAAAGATATTTTATCCAGATTATATTATAGATATGGACACTGTGGATGATTGGTCATCGTGGAATATACAAAGGGCAAAACCTTGGGCAAGTTTCCTTACTCCACACTCTTAACAATAATAATCCCTCCAAAAAACAAAACAATAATAAATTGGTCATTTTCAATCCACGACTGTTTGTGGGACCCTGCTGTGCGCAATTGGCTACCACATTTTGCCCACAAATATACAGTCAATTCACTTTACAGCATATTCTGTGAAGCGCTTTGAGACGTCTAGAAGACGTGAAAAGCACTATACCAAATGCAAGGATTATTATCATTACTATTATTATTATACAATACAATTTTAGATAGCACCTTTCACGAGGTCAACCCAAGGCGATGTACAACTTGGAAATACAAATTGGAAACAAAGTGGAATCTTGTTGTTGTTGAAAGTGAGCAATACCTGTTGGGAAAGGCTTACAGATGGTAGTGTCCAGACATTTTAAGGAGGAATTGTAATTCGCTTTTAACAAACACTGAATAACAGAATTGTCACATTTGCAGAAACGTTGTTCACAAGCATCCATGGCAGCTGCTGAAAAAGAAAATTCAGCATCAGTGTGTCCTCCACATCAGCTACTGTCAGCCTGCCTGGCAATGGGTAACTGACTGACTCCAGCACATCCATTACCATGTCATGATTTGTTCAGAATATTTTTCTCTCTCCTCATTAAGTTCTGGTCAAGGTGATGAAAAGAAGGGCCAACAATCCCCCAAGTAAAATTGGTTATTCATCCCACGGCTGTTTGTGGAATATTACTGTGCACACATTGGCTGCTGTATTCACCCAAAGAATACACAGTCACGCCACTTTCAAGTATCTCCTTTGTTTTGAGATGTCTCAACAACATGATACTATGTTAAATCAAACACAACTATTATTATTATGATCAAAGGATGTGCCTCCCAGGTCTAGTCTAGCACTGCTTTTCAATTGAGCACTGGAGGATGCACAAGAACAATATGAGGTTTAGGTGTCAGCATGGGACAGCTGGCCTCTGGGTCTGAAATTGTTGGTCAAGCCCCATGTTGGGACTTCAACCTCACTGACCCTTCATTGACACCCAGGGAAAACACTGGGAATTCAGTGCGAGCCCTGGACATCGCTCCTAGAGGAGCATGAAATACATCCAGGAAAGGTGATTTTTTACATCTAAAGTGATGGGAAATGGATTATTGCAGTGTTTTCAAACTATCCCATCCTGCTATTTGTCAAAATTAAAGTTAGCATCTCCCAAAATCGACAAACTCTGTCAGACTGTTTTGGTACCGCAATCAGGCTTTATGGCTGATTTTGGCCTAACGTCTTTTCTAAAACATCCCCAAAGAGGCTGGCGGTCACTTACCACAGGTCAGATTCTTAGTGGAACACTGGTTGTTGCTGATAACCTTCCCAGGATCCAATCGGCAGCCAGCGTCAGCGACCTCCTGGTAACATGTTCGATGTTGGAAACAGCAGCTACAAAACAGGCAATGACCCTAGGTCAGCCAGCGACACCCGGGAAATGCGTGACAGGCAGTTGATTTCCTATTACTCCTGGATTGTTGTTGCATTTTTTTAAATAATGTCCTTTTGCCCTCCTCTCCTGAACCTATTGACTTTTAGTATCTTTTGACTTGGGTGCAGTTCCACAGGTGCTGGAGGCTCTCCACTAGCTCATCCAAACGACCATTATTTGCGGTTTCAGCGAAGTGGAAAGTGATGTTGGTGTCAGAGTGGAGTTTAGGGCTTCGGCTACACAGTGGACCCGAAAGTGATAGATGAAGGTTCTGACATTTTGATTGATTCCAATCTGGGGATTAGAGGGTGGCTATGGAAAATAAAATGTTCCTTCAGGGGATTAAATGAATGGAGCAAAAGAGAATGGACCTGGGTTGTGGAAGAAGTAAACTTGATGTGTCAATCTTGTGTCTTTGTTTACCAACTTAAAAGTTCCCATTGGATACTCTGCAGCACACACCCTGTAGAATGTTGGAAAAGATGGTGTTTGTTTTTGTCACTGAGAAACTATCTGACTGACTTGATAGATCTTACTGACAACCTTACAAAACCTACCTATCTGTTTCATCAGCTGGAAGTCCTTCTTCCCTGAATCTGCACACACAGCCGTAATTTTCAAAGTCCTTGGGACAATATCCTGTCACACACTTCAGCTTATTCACAAAGCTGTAAAATGCTGGAAAGCTGTCGAATACCGATTGCAACCAAGTGAAGTGTGTTCCCAGACAGTCTGAGGAAGACAATGATAATATATTACCTTTAATGATCAACCTTTGCTCAAAATCTGATCGGTTAGCAACACTAACCAATTAGTGGTACAAATTTTCACAAATGCTGATTTGCAACCTGCTCACACTCCACTCCTTCATTTACACATGTTTGTCAATTTACACAAACTCCTGCTTTGCTCCCTATTGTGTTCTGATTTACACACTAAAGCTGCTTTGCTCACAATTACATCCCATTTTGCTTTGTTCACTATTGTGTCCTGATTTACACAATAAGCTCACACAGAGGATACAATTCAAGATCCTGGTCCTCACATTCAATGCCCTCCATGACCTTACTCCCCCCTACCTCTGCGACCTCCTAATCCCCTACCAACCTGCCCGCTGCCTAGGCTCAACTAGCTCCGTCCTGCTTCATGTATTGGCGGGCGGGCCTTCAGTCACCCACCCTCTGGAATTCCATCCAGCAGTCCTTCCGCCTCGCCCCCTCCCTTACCTCCTTTAAGACCCATCTGAAGACCATCCTCTTCGACCATGCTTTCGATCACCCTGCTTCTCCCCAATCCGAACCCCCAGCTCGGGTCCAAAATAATGATTGTCCAGCACCTTGGGACATCTTCCTCACGTGAAAAGCACTATACAAATGTAATTTTGTTGTTGTTGTGCTCAATATTGCAACTACTGTATTTGCAATTCCAGTTTAAAATGATTCCATGCCCAGTGCCTAGGTCCGATTTCTTAGGCATGTGCTGAAGTGCCCTGTGTTTTACTGAAATAGACCAATTGTTTTCATGATGAACAGCAATATTTGATTTAAAATTATGAAAAAGAAATCCTTAATGGATTCTGAGAAATTCAGACAAACAGAACTTGACATCCAGGTTCAGATCTGTGCAGGGTTAGTTGACCTGAGCTGAGACAGTAGTTGGGGTGCAATGGGTGGCTTCAGTGACCCTGAAGTAGGGAGGGGACAATCAGCCAGGATTTCCCTCCTGATCACTAGTCATTCTGCACTTACACATGCCAGTATAGGATCAAGCTCAGCTGAAAGTGCATTTGAAGTGATATGCTTTTTAGAAGAGTTTTGAAAGCAGAGAAGAGGGAACAAAGCAGAGAGCTTTAGAAGAGTTTTAGACAGTGGGGAAAAAGTGGCTGATATAGAACATCGCAAATATGAACATGAAATGTAGATGCAGGTTTTGTTATCTGTTTCCTGCGCCTCAGCTGTTACTGAGATTAAATGGAGAGAAGCAGAGAACTACACCTGTTGCTGGATGCATCCTGTTACCCTTGTCTCCCACGCTGGTCAGGGCTTTCACACTGCCTGTTTGGAAATCAATCATTAGAACAAACTCAACATCTTTCAAATGCTTTTCTGCAACTTCATATTTTAATGCTTTACAGAACCGCTCATTTAACATTTGTCTTTAGAACATATATACATTGTCAAGGCTTATTTAGACCTTGAATTGCTGTAAATGTTGTAAATATGATCAGACACCCAAACACAAATAATAATAATAATCATTGTATTTGATATAGCGCCTTATCAAATCTTCGAGACATCTCAAAGTACTTCACAGAATATACTATTAAGTGAATTTTGTGGGTGAAATATGGCAGCAAATTGCACACAGCAGTGTCCTACATACAATTGTGATTGAGTCACAAATTATTATTATATTTTTAAGGGATTATTACCCCAGAAAACCGATCCACCAATTGACTAACAATTGGGATCCTACTTACTGCTAGGTAAACAGAGGGGTGTGGAATAAGGAAACTTGGTTAACATTTTGCCCTGCCCAGGAATCAAACCCAGGTCCTCTAGGTTATGAGGCGAGTGCTCTAACCATTAAGCTGCAGGACTACTGGAGGTTGAAAAATATGGATGACATCTGATTTCCAGGTTGTTTTTCCTCTAATCCTTACCGGGACAGCCTGCAACTGTACAATGTGTAGAATGGATCAATGCACAGGTACATTTAGGTAATTGTAGAGATCCTTTCAAACAATGAACAAAGAGTTTCCTCGATGCCCAGCCTTACGGCCTGCCTCTGAGGACCTCCAGCCTCACATTACCCAGCCACCTCTCCAGAGAGCTGCTCACTGGCATTTGTCAAAATAGCAGCTCCTGAGTTTCAGTTTTATTTGCATTTAGTAGTTGATAATGTAAAAAATAGTGAAGTTAAAGCTGTGGTATTTCATAATGCATTTCAAATACCAATTATAGAGCACAACACATTTCTACCCGTTCTGAGTGTAACTAATTATTGTATAACTAATTTCCCCCACTTCCCTAGTACTGTCCAACCAATCTTTGTATAACTAACTCCTCCCCTGAGTTTCACACTCCTTGTAAACAAATCTCTGCCACTTTGGTTTTTGGGACATGCGCCTAAACTATATTATTTTCTGCTTCTATGGAATACGGAAATGGCTACTTACCAATATGAGACACAATGAACAAGAATAACCAAAAAACTGCAGCCATTGCTGATCAACTCACAGCAAGCAAAGTGCTTATTTCAAGATCCAAGCATACATATATGTTTTGCTTAAATCAAATTATCTGTGAAGAAATGTTGAGAAATGTACATATTATGTTGTTCCCAATTTGTCAACATTTTGGTCTGAAGAAGCACCTTTTTCAAAAGGTATTAAGGTAAAATTTCACTTGTTTATAGTATAATTTCGCTTGTTTTATCTATTGTATTGGGAAACATTATTCAAGTTGGCGTTTCATTGAACATCCCTGAATTATTGGCACTTGGTGCTGCTGGAACTAAATAGGGTAAACAACAAACAACAACAAGATTACATTTGTATAGCACCTTTCACGTCGGGAGGACGTCCCAAGGCGCTGGACAGTGTACAGCATTTCAGACCTGAGTTAGGGTCAGGGGGAGAAGGGAGGGGAGGGGAAGGAGGGTGACCAATGGCATGGTCGAAGAGGAGGGTTTTGAGGCGGGACTTGAAAGAGGCTAATGATTGGAGGTGGAGTGATTGGGGAATGGAGTTCCAGAGGTTGGGGGCAAAGTGGCTGAAGGCTCTCCCGCCAATGGTGGGGCAGGTGGGACGGGGGATGTGGAGCAGGCCAGATCCGGCTGAGCATAGGGAGCAGACGTGTTGGTTGGGGGTTAGGAGGTCACAGAGATAGGGTGGGGCGAGACCATTGAGGACTTTGTAGGTGAGGACCAGGATTTTGAACTGGATCTTCTGAAGGATAGGGAGCCAATGGAGTTGGGTGAGAATGGGGTCACAGAGTTTGGTGTGGGAGAGGACACGGGCTGCAGAGTTCTGGATTATCTGCAGCCTGTGGAGGGAAGAGTTGGGAAGGTCGACAAGCAGGGCGTTTGCATAGTCGAGCCTGGAGGTGATGAAGGCATGAACAAGAGTTTCAGCGGCCTGAGAGGTGAGGTAGTGGTGGAGTCGGGCAATGTTACGTAGGTGAGGGAAGACAGAGCAGGTCATGGCTTGGATGTGGGGAAGAAAAGACAGTTGAGTAAAACACAGGAAGATGGATTACTCAAAGCAGGTAACTAACCTACTGCTTACATGAACCTGCAATGCAATCATTCGCTTAAGCATCACATTTCAATGGAAATGTTGCCAGACGGAGAAAGGAGCGTTGAGACTTTGGCTAACAAGAATGTAAAACTCAAAGCCTTTGAGTCTGGGTTCAATTTTACCATTAAGGCGCTGGAATAACAAAGCTGTTAGTAACAGAAACAGGACCAGCATCCATACCACGGCTGCTGTATTATCAGGGAATAATGTGTACATCCACTGAACTACAAATTGCTCCATGCCCTGTCCTTAATTTGCTGTGGATCAGGCACAGGCACATGTATTAGACTGCCAATGATAACATACATGCCCCTTTCCTTCTGCAGCCAGGGATCAGAAATAAGATTGGTTTGGATGAAGATGGCCTTTTAGCCCAATTGAACTCATCCCTACAGAATATCCAACCTACAATCCTCCTCTCATAGCATGAAACTGCTTTTTAATCGAGTCCGGGGTCCTTCTCTCAACCACCCTTCCTGGCAATGCCAGTAGTAAATTATCCTCTGACTAAAAATAACCTTTTTGGTATCTTTTTGTCATGAAATTGCCCTTCACAGCTATAAATTTATGTCCTCATGTTCTAGTATCTTGCTGCATCCTAAAGTATTGTTCTGTTTAAACGCCATTTTGCACCCATCAATTTCTACTGGCCAGTTCACATCTTATAATACTCCTCACATTTGATATAGCTTCCTTCACATCAGGAGAACATCTCAAAGCATTTCATAGGATATACTGTAAAGTGTAGTTACTGTGTATTTTATGGGTGAACATGGAAGCCAATTTCAACACAAACAGCAATATTCCACAAACAACCATGAGGTGAATGACCAATTTTAGCTGGGGATTATTGGCCAGAACAGGAGAAACTATTTGTGAGTAGTTTCATGAAATCTTTAACATCTACCTGAACAGGCACACAAGACCTCAGTTTAAGGTCTCACCCTAAGGATGACACCTTGAATAATGTAGCATTCCCTCTGCACTACAGTGCAGCAAAAGCCAGACTGTGAATTCAAAGTGCCGATGTGTGGCTTGAACCCACAGCCTTCTGACTCAAAGGCAAGATTGCCATCACCTGAGCCAGGCTGACATTCCTGTGGACATAGCGTATATGTCAGGATTTTGAGAAGAATAAACTTTACCTGATCCTTATTTTCTGCATTAAAATATTTGAATAATATTGGAACCGACTTTCAGTAAATCACATTACATCAGGTAAACAAATCATTTCTTCCAATCTCTTTTCAACCACGGCCTGCAAACCCAAAGATTTAATATAACTCACCTTAAGAGGGGATACAGTCGGGTGTTGTGGGTGATTCCTGCAATCTTTCTGTAATGGGCCTGTTAAAAAGTACTTATATCCTCCAAGATACCTTTTAGGAGCCATGTGACAGCTATCAGTTGCAAATCCCCATCAAGAAGAATTTATTAATCAAACAGTGTAACAGTGGTGCTGTGTTGGAATTAAAATGTAATAATAGATCAGTAACAACCTCTAAAACACTATAATAGAAACCCTTGTGGCATCCGTTCCATACCATTGACTTAATTAGTGTTGCCCACTCGTCAGGAAAGCGCATCCAGTCAGTCTTTTGTAGCAGAGAGTAGAGGGGAATTACAAAGATTAGACCTGAGGCAATGCTGAACTGTTGTGAGTAAGTTGAAATGAATACAGCACAAATACTTCAAGGGAACTGCTCCCCTTCGTATCCCATTTAATACCCTGGGATAAGCTCTGTTTTAACATCAGGTTGATCAAAGGGGTGAGCCCAGTAGATAGACTTCAACTGTGGCTTTTATTCTTTGGCTCCTTGTTATTTTCTCTTGAGTGATGATAGTTCTACGGGCTCACCTACATAATGCGTTTTGAAACCTGGACAGATTAAATCCACCCAGGTATTCTCTGATACCAGTGTTTTAAAAATGGCCTTTGATCTGACATCCTATGAATCTAGCTGCTCGCTGCTGTTAAAATAGACTTAGTGCGTCTGTGAGTCAATGTTTTGGGTCCACGACCCTTCGTTAGAACTGGGGCATAATGGGAGGGAGAGGCTTTTAAGGGCTAACAGAGAGTAGGGAGGCAGAGCAAGGAAGACAAAGAAGAAAATGGGAGAGAGGACAGAGATGATGGGTTAAAGAGGTGTTAATGATGCAAAACAAAAGGGGAGGGAAAATTGCAACAAAATAGGCAGACCAGAGAGAGAAAAGATGTGCCTGCAACCCAGATGATGTAGTAATGGTCACAGAAGGGCTGGGGAAGGTGAGCTGTTATGGTCTGAAATTATTGAAATCAATATTGAGGCCAGAGGGCTGAAGGTCCCTAGCAGATAGATGAGGTGCTGTTCCTCGAGCTTACCCTGTGGCTCATTGTAACAACGTAGGAGACGATGGATGCAGAGGTCAGAGTGGGAGGGAGAGTTGAAGTGGTACTCTGTCCTCTACCCCATTTGCTCCTTTGCCTTCCTTGTCCTGCCTCCCCCTCTCGGTTAGCCCTTAAAAGCCTCTCCCTCCCTACATGCCCCAGATCTGATGAAGGGCCGTGGACCCGAAACGTTGACTCACTTTCCTTTCTCCATAGATGCTGCCTGACCTGCTGAGTGTTCCCAGTGACTTCTGTTTTTGTTTCAGATTTCCAGCATCTGCAGTATTTTGCCTTTAAGGTGTCTGTATTGGTTCAACATGACAGGTTTTAATTTAGACTATTGTATTTCCTAATAGCACCAGGGAGAGAAAGATTTTTGTAATCTTAACCTTAAAACTATTGTTTTAAAATATATTTAAGAATATATTTAAAATATATTTAAGAATATTTTGAAGCTAGTTTTAAGCCTGAATTTAATCATTTCACA